TATACGTAGGCTGGAGCCGATGCCCCGTCCACAACCATGCGCGCGTTATGCGCTGCTATCGTTGTCTCGGCTACGGCCACACACAAAAAAACTGTGTCGAAAAGGAGGATACATGCGGGCATTGCGCCGAAACGAGACATCGTGCTGCGCTCTGTCCCAAAAAGAAAAGCGGGGCCCTCCCTGTATGCATCAACTGCAAACGGGATGGCCGACGGAGCCAGCACGATACTAAGAGTACTGACTGCCCTAGAGCACGAATAGCGCGCGACAGACTTGACAATGGACATTGAACGTGACAGACAGACACGGACTCAGGCAATACCCCCTCCCCCCACATCATTACTCTCCATTGAGAATCTTGGAATTAAACATGGGCAATTCCAAAGATGTCTCGCCGCAACTGAGCGACCTTATCCGTCGCGAGTGTAAAGACCTGGCTCTTGTCCAGGAACCTTACTCCACAGGAAGTGGAGACCTCGCGGGGCATGGATGTCTTATAAAACGGACAACAGCCAGCGGTTGCAATTCACCGAGAGCTGCCGTCCTGGCGTTAAATCCCAGGACGTCAGTTACTCAACTCAGTCGCCTCAGCAATCAGCACGTGGTCTGCGTAGAGGTTCACAGTCCAGCTGTGAGCTTCTACGCAATTACTGCTTACTTTCAACACTCGGAGCCCACCTTGAGACACTTGGAGCACCTCAAAAAATATTGAGAGCATTGCGTGGCGGGAATGTGCTAATCTGTGCTGACGTGAATGCAAGGTCCGTCCTCTGGGGATCCCCTGTCACTTGTGACAGGGGTGAAGTAGTGGAAGACTTTGTCTCCGCGCAGATTGCACATCCTGAATCGGGGAGAGGTGCCTACCTTTACGAGCTCAAGAGGGGCTTCGTGTATTGATATAACGCTGGTGACCGATGGACTGCTGCCGCTTGTGACAGACTGGCACGTACGAACGGACGCAACAACTAGTGACCACGCCCTCATTGACTTTAAAATCAATGTACGGCGTGCCACTAGGACACACATGGAGAATAGACTACAGGAGACCAAAGTAATGTATCTTGAGGCAAGCATTTTTTCGTCGGAAGTTTACGTTTCGTGAACATCCCGCTAGAGTGTGTTTCAAACGGTCGTGAAAATCTGATGGTTCACTTCATGGAGAATTATTTTCATGGGTTAACCTAAAAAAAAGTTTTGCCACGTGTTGTCAATAATAAATTGTCAAGTTTTATAAATTGTAATTGAATAAATACATTAAAATCATAACAACAGTTATTATGTTATGATAAAAAAATAAGCCCTTGAATATTTGGAATATGATAACAATTGAAAACTTATAAATTAAATAATAAACAGTAAGTAAAATTATGAAATTGTTCAAGTCAAATAAACATCTTATATTTTTTATTAAATTATATTCTTTTTATTCATAAAATTATGTCAAAATATGTGAATTTTATTGTTATTTTCAGAATCGAAATATATTTCATCTAAACAACATGAAAGCTGAATTTAATTTCAATAAATTAAGGGAGAAAATTAATTTAGTAAATTTTCCTGAAAATCGAGATTGCGGAACATTGACAATGAAAAAGTTTCCTTACATTGCTTTTATGGATTTGGAGAATGGTATTAATAAACGAAAAGTTATTATTAGAAAAAATCTGCATGTTGACGTATATTTAAAACAAAAAGCATGTCCTTGGATTAAAGTAAAAAAACCAAAAAGTATTGACGATATAAATCAGATTTTGAAAATCATAAACAAAAACAAAGTATAAATTGTTTACATATCTTTTAAAGGTAAATGCATACTAGAATTTTTTTATTAATTCAGATATTATACACTTATAAATAATTATGTATGCTTTTTCCATTTTAATATTGCAAATATTAAAAGTATTTGTACATAAAATTAAAATTGAAATAATTCTTGGATAATAGTCACATATAATTTACTCAGTGAAAAATAATTTAAAATGATTCACAAAATAAATAATAATAATGATAAATAATAATCTCAACGGTGAAATAGAACTGTAAATTAAAATTAAAATAATTCTTGAAAAATATCGACGGTGAAATAGAACTGTAAATTTAAATTAAAATAATTGTTGCAAAATATCGACGATGAAATAGAATTGTATACTAAAACTAAAATAATTGTTGCAAATGAACGGTGAAAAACACTTTTATAAATAATCAATAAACTACACAGTTAAAATTTAAATTTTATTGTACATCAATAATTAATAAATCAATAACTCAATTCTTTTCATATAAATTTTTTATTATTTAAATTTTTTTTACAATTTCGCTGATTTTCTAAACTTTTTCGAATTCTTTTTGTTCATATCATTATAGCTATTATATCTTTTAGCTATAAAATGCGAACGCATTATCAAATAGAAACTCATAATTGAAATTGTGAATTCGTGCTTATGATCATCACAGCCAACTTTTGAAATTTCAATAGACCTTAAAGCATCGAGTATGTCAAAGAATGTGTCACTATTTAATTGGTCACATTCCACAATGCTGAGAATTTGCTCTTCAATACTGTTTATTAAACTATACAATTCATTTGAGGGGTAATGAAGTCCCCCACGATTCAAAGCATTTATTAATTTATATCTTCCACCTTCTCCCCCTGTTTTGTCCGGATTTTGCAGACTTTGAATGCAACTAAAGCATTTTGTCATATTCTTGGCTTTAAAAGATATATAACCAGCAATGAATCCTGTAACAAAATCTTTTGTCATTGACTGTTGTTCATTGACATTTTGAAATCTTTCTAAAACATAAGGAATATTTTCAATCAAAGGATCGTCAGTTGATATGACTCTTTCTAAAATATGGCACAATGATTCTTTGGCACTCTCCACACGTAGGTCGGAAAAATTCAACATCGTTTTGAGTATTTCACACCCTTCGACATTACTCCCTTTTCTCGGTTTAATCAAGGAGTAGCAACTTAATAATCGAAAGATTTGGGCGAACATCCGAGAATCAGGGTGGTCATTAGAGCCACAGGCATCACGAACCAAACCGAAAAATCTCTGAAAACAAACACGTTGATCTTATAAGAAATCTTTTGAAATGTATAAAAAACAATATTTGCATACCTCCAAAGCATCCTGATTCAGTCTGCTTGTCATTAAATAGGTTATACCATAATTCTCTTTTAGAAAATTAAACAATTCTAGCGTAGCATCTGAAGTCACGCGTAACCCAACAGATGTACTTGAACTCAAAGTTTTTTCATCATTTTCTTTTGCACCTATTGTCCAGGTCTTTAAAAAATCTAGAAATTCTGTTATTGCCTATAAATCAATGAAGTAATAAAAATAAAATTAAAATAAAATGTTGTATTTTTGGAAAAGTATATAAATTATTGAGAATAGAATAAAAATTTTTTTTTTCTTAAACATATAACTAACACTCATTTCTTTTGAATTTTCTCTTAAAGCATTTTTTGGTGATCTTGACATCATAGCATCTATCAAACTCGAAACTTTCTTCATAAAAGAAATTGTTGCTTGACAATCTGACAAGTCTTGGTCTTCATCGCTGTACAATTCCATTGCTGTATGAACAGGTTCAGAAAATAGCTCAAATGTAATGTTTAGAATTCAATAAAAACATTTAATAATGTTATTTTAAAAAATATAAATATAAGACAATATTTACATAAAATGCCATTGGAACGTTCATTTTCTGATAATACTTTGGATCGAGATGATCAGGGGTCAACTTATACGCAATTCTCAGATTATAAATATTTCTACTTTCCATATTGATTACAGCTCGCCAGTGAGTTTTCTTAACCATCCCTTCAGAAGTCTATAAGAAAATGAATTATACAAAAAAATGCAAAGAAGATATGCTAAAATATATTATATTATAAAAATTAATTTGTTAGATTTAAATTTACCCATGTTTCTTCCCTTGAAACGATGAAGTTTCGTAAGTTTTTAATTAAATGTGGAAAATCTGAGAGAAACCACAATTTTTGTTCACTGTTTAGTGGATGGTCACAAGACGATTTGCCTACTTTAATCCCAAAATGAGTCCACATGCCCCTATTTCACTGCCCTCCATCGCTAATCACTGCGTTTACAGATATTCCACATGCCTCTAGTAAATTTGTGCACTCAATAACTAAGTGGCTTAGAATTTCTCCCGTTGCACACCCTTTAGTAAGAAAGCATCCAAGAGCTTGTACCCACTTTCCAACAAATGGTTGGTACATAAATACAAGTGCATGGTCTCCTAATTCTTTCTCTTGGTGAACTGGAGTATGACTACCTAAGTCAGTAAATCCGTTGAATTTTAATTTTTTGGAATCAAATGACATGCATGGATTTAACTTTATTTCATCCATAAGGAGTACACCTATGAAAAGTTAACTTGATAATTATGAAAATATAACAAATATGAAATGTACCTTTTATCATTTAAATTCAAAATTGTAAATCATACCTGACTTCTCAAGTGTAGTAAACCCTGAACATTTTTCTTTCAGACCTTCAAAAATATTTAAATTAAAACCATAAGAAGAATTCATTTTCCTCATGTATGTGTCCAAAGTTTGTAAAGTCGGTACTGCGAGAATTTTTCTTTCCAAAATGTGCTCATATAATTTTTTACTTTTTATTCGCATCAATATACATTCATAAACACAACGCACATCGTATCTTCTTCCTTTAGGGTTTTTCAATTTTGCAGCTGCAAAACAAGATCTGACAGCCTGCTGCTGTTCCTCTGGTAATGAGCTGATTTTTTTCTCAATAATATCTTCTTTCATACGAGCGCAATCATTTCTTAAACGCAGAATATTGCCACGTTGTTTGTTAACCTGCATCAAAGTAAAGTTTGTTAGTTTCAATATTACATTATTGAATTAAATTACTTACCTTTACATTCAGGCGACTAATTTTATTTTTCAGTGAGCGTTTCTCATTACATTTAACTTTTTTCATTCTCAATAACGCCCTTTTCTTTTTCGCAGCTTCACGATCTAACACTTTCCTACGTTGCAGCCTACATGAAAGACATCTTTCACTTTTCGATTTGGAGTTAAAATAACCAAAGCAAGATTCAGATCTGTAGAAAATAACACAAATTGTATATATTAAGAAAATTTTTAATAAAACTAGTTGTAAAATATAAAAATTTATTAATCTATTTGTTACATTCATCCCTGGACACCCTTTGACGCTTTCCACCAATATTAAGTTATTAAAAACATCTTCAAATGAGTTAATATCCCTAATTCCGGGCAGCAAGATTAATGTGTCATTAAGGTAAACCTAAAAAAATTTTATATTATATTACATATGTATATATATATTTCATTATATATATAAGGCTCATTTCATTTAAATTGTCATATTCGTGTCCCTTGCCAAAAAAAATTATTTGATATAACCTTAGTTGAAATTAATTTGTTTATATAGTAAAAAGCAATGATTTTTAATAAATTTTCTACTTACAAGGACATAGAAGTGATTTTCATAATATTGGTAGAACAAAAAGCAGGCAAAATGTCATAAGTGTAATGCGTCCCCGGAGACATTTTCAATGTTCAAATGAATGAAATGTCGAAAATATAGTGTTTAAACCAGATTAAAAAAATGTTTCGTGAAGTATTAGTTCTATATTTAAGGAAAATCAAGTGTTGGTAATTAAACTTTATTTTATACAATTTACAGAAAATGAAAATGACGTGTCCCTCACTTTTGTATTTTTACGTTTTGCCGGCAGAATTTTCAACTTTTACCTGCTATTTAAATTACCTTATGAGCAAAAAAATTTCTTTACCATCGCATAAGCAGCAGAACACAACAACGAAGTGTGTGAAAAAAACGAAAACGATATAAGTATAAATCTGCTCGTTTGTCATGGTGGCAGAAAAAGCCGAAACACTTTCGTAATTGAATTTCTGTCAACAGTGTAACGCCTTGAAAATGGTTAGAAAATATTTTGAATTTTATATCGGTATGGAATTTAATGTATTTTTGGATTCTCTTTCGAATGAGACCAACCCCGTCGATATAAGTATAACCGTTTTCATTTTATAAACGAAAAACGAGCAAAATGTCAACAGTGTAATGGTCATAAGTGTAATGCAAATTTGTATATATGGCTTCAGTAAACGTAATAAATCACAGAGGCCTACAAAATAAAACTTTTTTCTTTTATCTTGATATCAGAATGGTTTCTAATGTATTTTTGGGTGCTGAACACGATCCCGGATCTTAAAATTGCCTAGCATGTCAGGATTTTGAAAAAAGTGGGGGTAAAAACCCCCAAGAAACATGTTGTTATGGGTGTTTAATATGATTTTTCTCATTAACCTGACGTGGTAAAAACTTCAAAAAAGTTTTTAGATTATAGCATAATTCGTGTACTACATGACCCGTACACGCAACCCTCTTCCCTAATTTTTTCCATAAAATGGAGTTATAACTCACCCTCAAAAATTTTTTATTTTAATTCCTTCGGCGAAATGAATAGATGTTTATTTGTTTTATATTCATAATGTATAAGGACATAAATTTTGCATTTTGCCTATATAATTTTTAACCCCTTCGCAGTCCAGTTAAAAATCACTTATAGGCCTAATAAGGTTCCAAACAGAGCTTTCAAAAAAATATGATTTCATCGTATTTAAGATTTTTGGGTTCATCTGTCATCAAATTCGAATTCAGCGACCCCGAAAACCCCCGAGAAACAAATTTCGACCGAATCGCATCAGTCTTAAAATTATTCGCCATATTGGGTCGCCATATTGGATCCACCATTTTAAATTTTGAAAATCTGACGTCATATTTGTAATTAGTAACCCAAAAAGCCCCTAAGTAACGAGTTTCAAGCGAATCGAATCAACTTCTAAATTTTCATGGTTGCTATTTTGGATCGGCCATTTTGAATATTTTAAATCTGACTTCAATTTCAGATTCAGCGACCCCAAAAACTTCAGTATATTTATCACCAGTCAAATCGAATTATATTTAGTATTATTATTTTATCAAAAATTGACAGAAAATTTTTTTTATAAGATATGACGATTTCTGCCAAAAAAAACCGTCTGCCATAAGAAATATATGACTTTAATTTTGTGACCACTATTTATTTTTTTAATTTAACATGTTAAACTGTATTAAAAAAATTAGTTTCAACCTTAAAATCAAAATTTTCCAACTCAACTTTTCTGGAAGCTGAATATGACAATTTAAATGCTGTGAGCCATATACTTACTTTCACTGACAAGTCCATGTGCACTGTGATTTTCTTTGCAGACAACGCATCTTTATCCCATTGTCCAATGATTACTTGGTTGTGACTAAAAAAAAGCGCTTCCCAGTTTGTACGAAGTTTAGTAGTCACATCTTGCTGTAATTTTCTATACGTATATCTCTCAGCAAAAGTCTAGAACAAATATATAAATATGAATATTTAAATAAAATATAAATTAATGTGATTCTTGAAGTTTACCTGATGCCGAAAGGTTCTTTTTAAGCTTTCGTCACATTTATTTGATCGAGATTTTCTCTTTATGGGTTTCTCTGAAATTTCTCGTACATATTTAAAAGTAATTTCGTTAACTGAGTTTTTCGTGATGGTTTTATTATTAGATGTTACAGTTCCTTCACATTCGTTATCATTGTTATTATTACTATCATTTTCAAGATCGTAATTGTCATTGTTATTATTTCTATCTATATTACTACTGTCATTGTCAATGTTCTCTAGTAATATATTTCCATTGTCGTTTTCGATAGAATTAGAAGCAGCACGATTGTTATCATTTTCATTTGTATTGTAATTATCATTATCTTCGTTTTCTGATAATTTGTCATTCCCGCCTTCCATCCCAAGAAGCACGTAATATAACCTCAATATCAAGGTAATATTACATGTAAGATTCGTAATATAACGTTGTAATATTACAGTAATCTTACAGTTATCTTAAAATGTCCGCCTCAAGGTAATATTACCGGTAATGTTACTGTAATATTACGCGCTAATATTAAGGTAATATTACAGTAATATTGCAGTAATATTGCAGTAATATTATACCGTAATATTAAGGTAATATTACAAGAGAATATTACAGTAATATTATGGGAACATTTCTTTACGAAAAAAATCTACCCATCCAGGGAATCGAACCCCGAACTCAAAGCACACGAGTCCAGAGTTTTACCAACAAGCCAAATTGACTTATAATATATTTACGTTTTTTATGCTTTATGAATAACTCAAATCAGTCTGTAATATTACTGTAATATTACCGTTAATATTACAGTAATATTCCCAGTAATATTACAGTAATATTCCCGGTAATATTACCTTGAGGCGGACATTTTAAGATCACTGTAAGATTACTGTAATATTACAGCGTTATATTACGAATCTCACGTGTAATATTACCTTGATATTGAGGATATATTACGTGCTTCTTGGGATGTTATTAGAAACCTGATTCTGATGAAATATTTCAGCACGCTGTTGGTTGATTGGAACATTTACGTCAATATTTTCTACAATCTTTTTACATCCAATCTGAGAATTCACAGGAATAGCAAAAGATTTTAAATTTTTAACAGCTTTTTGAATAGAAACAATTGTTCCATCTGGCATTTTAGAATTAAAATAGGCGCATATGTCATCCCCTTTAAAATGATTTTCGCATATGCGATCAAATGCATCTAACGGTTTTCCAATTACTTTCTCCCATTGTAATCGTAAATTTTCATCCTGCAATACATATAATACATAAAAGAAAATATTTGGGAAAATAATTTAAAAATTTTTTTTATATACCTTAGGAACTTTAAACAGAGTTCGAGGAGTCAGATTTTCTTTCTGACATTTGTAATAAGAATAATTACATGCACCACATTTCCGTCGACAGTGTTTTCTCTCTTTAATGTCCTGCGAAAATTATATAACATAAAAATGAAAACGGGTATATTCTTTATATTATTATTTTAATATTATTAATAAATTATTATTAATAATAATTAATAAATAAATAATATTACATATTATTTTAAGAAAAGTGGTCAACATAACCTTAAACTGAACAATTAGTTTACAGAAAAAGTAAAGACATATTTTATATTAATTAATTTTAACAAATATTGTAAAACTCAAATTATTTTAAAAAGGATTACTTTCACTTACTTTCCCCATTGCACATTATTTATTGCACGTAAAAAGTAATATAAAAATTATGTGGAATGCACGTGAAAAACACGAGAAATCTTATCCATAAAATTACACCCTTAAGTATATTGCCAGACACATTTTCACATTATTTTCACGACCGATGCGTGCGCTCCAAGCAAGAAGTCCGCTCATTAGACCGTGTGCTTCCGACGCAAAAAGGTTCGCTTTTACTGAAGTACATGTACGGCACTTTGGTCTCCTGTAGTCTATTCTCCATGAGGACACAGACAAGACAATCTGACGCACGTCCGATAAGATACAATGTTGAGAAGGTCAGAATGGACGCGTTCCAGCTCACTCTTTTAAGTGAGCTCAAACGCTTTTCTGACTCAACTTGACACCTTTGAGGACGTTGACGCTTTCACAGAAGACATAACAAAAGCCCTTCATAAAGCGTGTAAGGCATCCATGCTCATAAAAAGGTGGCTCAGTCGCCAACATCCCTGGTGGACGAAGACCCTCACCCGAATGAAAAAAGATGTCATTCGACTGAGGGGAGTCTACCAGAGAGAAACAAGAACTGCGCGGCGAATGGAGAATCGAGAGGCGTACATCCGGAAGAAGGATGAGTTCCGCAAAGAGGCCAGACACGCGAACTGACAATCTTAGCATAACTTCGTCATAGATGTCGGTAACTGCGAGCCTTGGGGTATTGTCTACAAAACACAGACGGACAGAATAAACACAGAAACAATTTTTCACACGGTTAGGGATGAACACGGCGAGGCCGTCACTTCCATGTCGGATGGGGCGGAACTCTTTTTAAGAGCTTTCGGCCCAACCGAAAATGTGGCTGTAGCAGAGGATCACCGGGAAAACCCGTTGATCGAGCCAGCTGAAGGCGAACCTCCATTCACTGAGGTAGAAGCGTGGAACATAATTCGCCATCTCCTCGCAAACAAGGCCCCTGAGCTCGATAATATCGAGGTTCAGGTGGTCAAAATTGCGTGGCCTTGGCTTGAGTTCCCGTTTCTCCAACTGGTGAATGGATGTCTCAGACTGGGCTACTTCCCCAGAGATTGGAAGCGGGGGAACATCCGTTTCATCTCTAAAGGACGGGACAAAGACCTGACACAGGTGCGATCATACAGACCGGTATGTCTACTCTCTGTTCTAGGTAAAATTTTTGAAAGGCTTCTGTTGGGAAGGTTGAGGAAGATTGCCCTTGGACCGAACATGTTGTCTTCACAACAGTTCGGCTTCGTAAAGAGCAACTCTTGCGAGGACACCATCGTCGAGATCCGTCGAAATGTGTCGGAGAAGGAGGAAAGGTACGTTCTAGCCCTCCTCTTCGACATAACGGGGACCTTTGACAACATAAGGTGGCCGCTTGCAATGAGCGGTTTAGCAAAAAGAGGCTGTCCAACAAACATCCTGGCGGTCATGGGAAGTTACTTCCGAGAAAGATGGATGACCCTCTCCTGGAACGGAGGCTCTATTTCACGCGCGGCGTCCAAAGGCTGCCCTCAGGGCTCTGTTTTGGGACCCTGCGCTTGGAATATTGCCTTTGATGGCCTTCTGGAGACTCTTGAGGAATTACTCGGGAAGTCATTTGCAGTATATGCGGATGACTTGTCGGTAATTGTCTCTGGGGACTCCAGAAGGAAACTCCCGGAGACAGCACAGATGGTTGTTGATACAGTCTCACGCTGGTGCGATGCAAACGGCCTCCAGTTGTCAAAGTCCTACCACTTCGATTTAAAAAAAAATTTTTTTCTGCATAATGCCTATGATGTTAGGAATAACTTCTCTAATTTTCATAATGAGACAGCAAGAACTTTGCGAGAAAAAAATTAAAACGTCCCGTGCGGCGCGACGGGACGCGTGCATCTTAGTTTCCACGTCCATTATATAGTATGGAAACTTGCAAATATCTCGAAAAGTACAAATTTTCGTAAAAAATGTTTAAGACAAAAGTTGTTCCAAACAAAAAGATCTACATATTTGAGACCAAAAAACTGGGCGAGGGCCTAATGTTGGTCCATACAATAAAAAAAGTGGTTTCCTTAAATAAGACCACTAATTTTCAGTATCAATTTCGTAATCCCTATGAAATTCTGCGTTCAGACATGTTGTATAAGTGCCCAAAATATTGGTTCTAATGTCTGAGATTGGGCCTATCAGTTTTTGACAAAAAAATAAATAAATTTTAAAAAATCTTATCTTTAGGGCCCAATGTAAGACCCACAGTAAAAAAATTAGTTTCCATCCATTTCGTAATCGTTATGAAATTCTGTGCTTAGACTTGTGGTACAAATTCTAAAAATATTGGGCCCAATCCCAGACATTTGGCCCAATATTTTTGGCATTTGTACTACAAGAATACCCAGAATTTCAAAACGATTACGAATTGAATACTAGAAATTAGTGGGTTTTATTTAAGAAAACTAATTTCTTTACTGTGGGCCTCACATTGGGCAGTGGAATCTTACATTGGGCTCTGTGCCCAATTTCAAAATTATCTTCGAATTTCTAATCATGTGACCCCAAAGCACCAAATATAAGATTTTTTAAAATTTATTTATTTTGTTTGTCAAAAACTGTTAGACCCAATCTGAGACGTTGTGACCAATATTTTGGGCACTTATACAATATGTCTAAACGCAGAATTTCATAAGGATTACGAATTTGATACAGAAAATTAGTGGTCTTATTTGAGAAAACCACTTTTTTCATTGTATGGCCCAACATTGGGCCCCGGCCCTATTTTTTGGTCTCAAATATGTAGATATTTTTGTTTGGAACAACTTTTTGTCTTAAACATTTTTTACGAAAATTCGTACTTTTCAAGATATTTGCAAGTTTCCATACTATATAATGGACGTGGAAACTAAGATGCACGCGTCCCGTCGCGCCGCACGGGACGTTTTAATTTTTTTCTCGCAAAGTTCTTGCTGTCCCATTATGAAAATTAAAGATGTTATTCTTAACATCATAGGCATTAAGCAGAAAAAAAATTTTTTAAATCGAAGTGGTAGTTTTTTCAAAAAATGAATTCAAAATTTTTTTTGATTTTCTTTCGGGCAAAAAAATTTTTTTTTATTAACTACTGTTTTCTTAAAATAGCATCTTTTTGTGAGAAATTTGAAAAAAATTGATCTCATTTAGATAACATGAAAAAAAGTTACATGTTTTTTTTTGAAAAAATGACATT